AGAAGTCAGAGTCCAAAGCCAAGGGTCAAGAGAGCAAGGTCCAAGATAAGCAAGAGTGTGGATGCGAGCCAGAGAATTGACCTGTTGCTTCCACAGGCTTCCAAGCCTCTGGGTACAGATTAATATAGTAGCAACAGTCATCTAATTCCTAGAAAACACTAAATCCTGCTAAAACTCAGGACTGGTCGACCTGATGTTCCTGTGGGAAGCATTCATGCGAGCCTCAGACCTTCGTGTTATGAGTCCCTGCGGAAGCTTGTCCCTCACTCTGGCTAGTGGGGGAGGAGAATCTGGCAGTGATTCAGTTGTCTGTGATTCTAATTACCCAGCATTTTTCACAGCTGTAATTAACCCCTCAGATTCCAGATCTTCTTAGACTGAACTCATGACACTCACCACTAGACAGGCAATCTATACTAGGAATTAAATAAATAAAAATTTGTATGTTTTGTAGTGTGTACATGCCTATGGAAAGTTACAGTTGCCCATGGTTTCCAGGCCCATACATTATGAGCATGTTCAGGAAGCAAGCCACATGTATAAAAAGCACGTACTAAACTGTATACGTGAAAAAGAAAGTTGTTTGATTTGCGTTCCTCACCTACCCTCTATAAAACAGATAAATGTAGTATGTCAATTGGAATAATATCCAATACAGATCAAAACTGAAAGTCATGCAATACACCTCAGGAAAGACAGAGAAGCTCTCATCAACCACATATTTTTATGCTGACACACACAGGACAAATCTGCATCTTTCACTTTGCACAGTATTGAAAACCTGCCATAATATGTGCTCATCTCTTTCTCTAACTATTTAAATCATCTTTCTAGCCTTTCTGAACCCAACTAGCTGGCAGAGCCTTGTATGAACAATGACCAACATAGGGAATGATTACACGAGTGTTTAGCCCGCTATTTGTTCCATTTGGTTTGCTCTTAAAGACAGTGACAGGACAACTTCCGACGTACACCTTTCTGGCCCTTGTCAGAGGCTTCTTTTTCAGAGCAAGAAGAATCGCTCAGATTTGGTTCATTTCCAGCATTTGCAATCACTGGAAATGAACCAAAAGAGAGCCTTCCCCAGTCAATTTGCCAGTATCATGAAGTGGCTTAAGGAGAGAGCCATTTCAGGATACTGGTAAATTAAACACTTTCTCATCTCCATGGATGAGCTGTGGAAGTGAAAAAAAAATTTTTTAAGCATTTTAGCATAGCATATATGTGCTGCATAACTTTAAACAATACAAGAGAAATGGAAAACTTCTTCCTGGAAGCAAGAGGGAGCAACCGGGGGGGGGGTTGTTTCCTTTAAGAGTTCAACAATATATGCATGTTCTTTTTGATGCTTCTGCTGCTACTGTTGCTGTGAACCTTGCTGAGCACTTATAGTCACTGAGAATCTTAAATTTCTAGAAAGAGACTTCAGACAAGGAAAAGGAAATAAAAGGGTCCTTTCTGAAGAATTAATTGTGTATGTATTTATCTTGGAAATATAGTATGGTTCTTCAATCCACTTTCTCAGATAATCTTATACCTCAATAAATAGACATCAAAAATTGATGTATTTGTATTTATTAAGAATTAGATAGTGTTGGAATTATTTTCTTGGACTACATCACTCAGAATCCCCCAACCAGCATAGTCAGTAACTATTCTTAATGACATAGAACAAAAATTAAAATTTCTAACCTTTCCTATGAATCTCATTCCCTATTACAATATAGCCCATAGCAGTGAAACAAATGGTGGTTAGTGGGAGGAGGGGGATTTAAGAGGGTTTTAGTAGGAGTGGGAGCAAAATACAGGAGTGCCATGTTGTATTAGCATGTGCTTTGAGATGCAAAGATGAAAAGTACCAAAAAAAAGTAAGCTAGGATATTTTCTGCTTCTAATAAAATATTCAGGTTCCCTCTGAAGTAAATTAGTGTGTCACTTGTGGAGGATTCTTTTGGTATTCTCATGGATCACAGAAACAGCCACTTCTTAGAAATATCAGCAGAAGCCCCTGAGTATGGCAATATATCCATTTCTTTATTTATATCCAGTAGCAACATACACAACTGTTTTATATGGTTCCTCTCTCTTTCTTTTATCCTGAAAACAACCTTGTACGGTAGGTTTGGCTGAGAGGTAATGTTTGGTCAAAGGACACAAAGTAAGTTTTGTGATTAAGCAGAGATCAAGTCCCTATCCACCCAATCAACCATACTGGCTCTTCCCAATCAGTGGTTACTATATAAATGAAATACATGATTTGTGTAAATTATGCCAAGACTAAACATATTGGTGGTTTTGTAGTATAACCTGCATAGCAGAATGATGTTGGCCTTGGCAGCAGATTAATTAAGAAGTTGGGTTGTGTGTTACTGTTTCTCATTGCATATAACTGGGCCACAACCCAAAATCAAAGCAGGAACTCTTTAATTAGTAGTGATCTGCTATTAGTAGGAAAACAACGGAGCAAGTACTGCACTTAATTTGGATAATATAGAAATAAGATCATTAGGCTATCCAGAACTGGATAACTGAAACATGGCAACTTTATTCCTGCCTTACCAAGCAATGCCAGAATTGAACTTGGGGCTTTCTGGGTGCAAAGCAGATACTGTACAACATCATTAAGCTATAGCCCTTCCATGTACTTCCATTCAATTTCAAAACAATTCCTCAAAAATGTGATCGTCACTCGGTCACCAATTTCACTGCATTTGTACTCATTGCAGAGTAACCATGCAAGTATCCATGAGCATGATCACTCTACACTGAGCCAATTCTACATTATAATGCTACACAGAAATATTTTAAAGTAAAGTGAAGCAAAGCAAAACTGCATGAAAATGAAGGACATGCACCTGAAAGCTTCCTGAGGGGAAAAAGGTGCTCGAAAGCTTTGCCCACAGCTATGGCTCTACCCAGGAGAGAACTAAACCAAAAATAATCTTAATGATAGTTAACTGTGTGATTCTACGCTGTCTATTTTGAAGTGAAGCCTACTTAATTCAAAAGGATTTACAAGATTTCAACTTCAATTCAAATTAATGGTGGGGAATGTTGGCCCTCCAGCTAGACTGGCTGATAACATCCACAGTCCCTTCCTATTGGACATCCTGGCTTGAACTTCTCTGAGCTGAAGCCAAAATTTTTTGGAAAGCAAAAAGTTCATCCCTCTAATATTGTTTTTTTACTTGTCGGCAAAAGTTGCAATATTTTAGAGTCACTCCTAAATGTACTATATTTCTATATGCTGGAAACAAATTGTTTTTTAAAATGACTGAAATTCTCTTGTTTAATGCAGTAAGTTATACTAGAATAAGCCCACTGAATCAGTGGGGATCTGATGCGGCAACTCCTCCATAACTTGCACGGATTCAGCTCTAGTTGCAAATTACTACAGAAAAATAAGCTGCAACTATTGTAAAGTAGACCCATTTAAATCAATGGAATGCACAGAGTAGCTGACTTATCAAATCCTTACTGATTCAGTAAGCCCACTCTAGTGCAACTTACTACACTAAGCAACAGGATTTCAGCTACTGGTGCTTAGTGAAATATAGAAAGATTATGTGAAGTACAGCTGGAGCAGGGTAGAACAAAGCAAAGTTACATATATCCTGTATATGAAGAGATTCAGAAAAAAAGAGGGTACCTCTTGTCTCTGCAGGAAATATAACAATAAAAAATGTCTGGACTTGTTCACAAAATATAGTAGTTGGTCTTTAAGGTGCCATAACATTTTTGTCTTCTTTATTTTTATTTTCTTTTTGCCTGACATGCTATCACAGACAAATATGGCTACCTCTTCTAAAATTACAACTATTGAAGAAGAATGACTCAATCTGAGACACCTCTTAAAGTGATAGAATTCCGGAGAATTAAACAGTGAAACCACACTCTGATAGCTATTTATTTGCACATGATCTTGACAGGGATGTTGACAAGGCTGTGGGTTTGAGTCTGACTCCTTGGTATCAAGTCCCAAGTCTGAGCCAAGTCTTTGGTCCCAAGTCTCAGTCCCTATTAAAAGCAAGCTTTCTTCCCCAGAAGGAACATTGGAAACTGCTAACATGTAGGTTGCTAATGTGTAGGCCATTGTACAAAGTGATATGCACACAAATATTTTCACACATAATGAAGGGATCTTATGCAGCTGATTGCGAAGCTGCTGAGAAAAAAAATAAATGTACACTCAGGTTTGCATTCACTGGTCTCCAAGGAAGAACCCAAATGAAAGCTGTAGGCTCTTTTATGTTCTGAAGCTACTAAGAGGACTGCTTTCTGCCTTGACAAACTCATAATGCTGAAACATTAGTCATCTTGGATAAACGGCAAAACAAAACAAAAATCGAGGACGAAGGATACATGGAAATTCAACAGTTCTGAACATACGCAAGGACAACTGTAACAGCATCATCAGAAAATTGCTAGATTTAATATTGCCTCGTATTTATTTGATTAAAAACAGAAATAACAAACCCTTTAACACTGCTTCCTCTTTTCCACTGACTAATATTTTAAAAAGAGCCCAGAATTTTATCACAATACTTCAAGGTATGTCTTTCTGCAAAATTTACATCACAGCTGCAACAAGGTACAGAGAGAGACCTGTTATACAGCCTTTTAAATTATACCTTAAAATTTTGCAGAAGAGCACTCGGAGACAGACAATTAGGTGAGCCTTCCTACCTGTCATTATAAAAACAGCATCTGATTTCAAGGAGGGAGAAATACAAGTAACAGTCCAAAGGCAGGATTAGGGCTTGATCCACCTATTTATGCATGCAAGTACGTTAGCCCCACAGATTCCTAAACTGGTTTGAACAGCCATGTGAACAAAATACAATTACTGGTTTTCTTTGCTAAATGATACCCAAAGATGCAGCAGAAGAAAAGCAGCTTTTAAATCTGCACACTGAGTATATAAATGAACTCTTGTCCTGCTTGTTAAAAACCACAGCAATTGCTTTATCGGATCATATTATTGCTTTGCACATACTTACTTTAACTGCCGAGGTTCACAGTCAACTCCTGGTAGCAAAAGCCTAGCTGCTTGCCGTACATCATCACTATCCACAGAGAAACTGCGACGATGCCCTGCATGAGCCAGAGCTACTCTTATCCATTCCATCAGAGGTGGCAGCACTATGAAAGGCCTACGAAGAACAAAACAAATACTGTAAGCTATTTTCCCCCATTATAAAATGCACGCAGTATCTCTGCATGTGTTTATCTAAGAGGCTTTTAAAAAGGAATTTCAGACAGGGCTGGAATTTAGGGATTTTACTCTAATCATGGGAAGGTTGAATTGGGTTTCCACAACACAACAAATACCAGACTTTTCCTCATGGGTCTAGCACTTCCCCGCAACATAACACTTCTCCTAGAAATTCTATACCTTAATTATTAAGACATATTTAATATCATTAAGATGATAATGAAAACTGAAAATGAATGTCTTTAAAATTACAAACGCACCTTTTACTGAAAGATAAAAATAGGGGATCTCTGTGAATAGAAGGGAAGTTTAAACAACACATGATAAAATTTTAATTTCAAAATCAGTGTAATATCAAATGTTGACCAGAGTCTTGAACTTATATCTGTCTGATATTAAAAATGCAATACCCTTAAACTATTAAGATGAATGACCTCATTACAGCTTTTCATGAATAATAGATATCTCTCTTTTTGGGTTGTGACCAAGGGATAATATATCGGAATAAAGTGATATTCAGAATGACACCCATGGGTTTTGAGTGGCGACATCTATGAGTGCAGATATTTTTTTTAATTAATTCCAAAACTGCAATGAATCCTGACACTGATGTGGAAGTGAGTGCTTCAGCCCTTCATTATGGCAGCAGCATTTAACGTCAAGAAGAAATACAAACAGAACTCAAAAGAAAGCCTTAGGGTTTGGTCCAGGTATTTAAACATGAAGCCAAACAAATCTCAAAGACTCCAAAGAGGCATCCTATCAAACTCAAAGTATTTAGATTGGTGACAGAGCATGTAAGGTTACATTACATCCTTTTGCGAAGACCAGTGTATGCCCTGCTGTGCAAATACAACTATGCAAAACTATGGGGCTGAAGTCTGAAGCTGGTGAGTTTCAAATATCCTGGCTAATTATGAGCAGAGCTAAAACCTCTTAGAAATTTGTTCACAACTTCAGATTCCCATCATGGCTACTGCCCTTTATTTTCTAACCTCTCCAGTGGAAGAAGGAGCAAGAAAGGCTATGTTGACACACTCTTTTGTTAATGGTATATTATGGGTGCTAATGCCCCCTGGAAATGCAGTTTTCCGGAAGAGTCCAAGACAAGCAGCTATTTGGGAAGTCTGTAAAATAAACTCCTGAAGGAAAGAAAAGCACAGAAATCTACCCCAAATCCTACCCACACAAATGACTTGGGGGGAAAAGTTACTGAGAATTTTTTAAAGTAGGAAAGTCGGGTAGAAAGCGATTTCTCAGAAGAGTTCCCCAAAAGAAGGCCTGCCTGTTAGGTTGGAACCCTGAAAAATGAGCATTTCGTTCACCCTGTAACCTTTTGTTGTAGAACTTACCGGTACTTGTCACGTTCTATTTCCAAGCCTACATAGTACAAGCTCTCAAAATATAGCAAGAAAATGAAAGTGGATTACCCTTCCCCTTTAATTTTCAAGCGTTATATAATCAATAAAGCCAATTGAGATAAAAAGCTTTCGAGCAAATCCCATTTATTTAAATAAGGGTTGCTCAGGGGACATTCTCAGCCGATTTTGCCTATAACTCCCAGGCTCAATAACGACCTAGGAGTCTCTGTCTCTATGACAGAGATTTCCAGCTGTCTTTTAGGTCTCTTCTTCCACCTAGTTCTGGATTCATCAAAGTGATTGAATAAAAGTGAATACAACCATATCACTTACTCTGTTTCTTGTTTTTCTAATCTTAAATTTGGCTCCTCCTAAATATTGCTTTTAAAATAAAATCCACACGAAAATTAATACACAAATTTGGGGCAGATTTTTCATAATATATTCTGGGCATTATTCTGACTAATTAATGCATTTTTCCTTGCAGTTTCACCAATATTTACATATTTGTATGTTCTGTTTGTGTATTAGTAATTTAAGTAGAAATTTAGGTAAGTTCAGCAGGGACGTGGTGGCGCTGCGGGCTAAACCGCAGAAGCCTGTGCTGCAGGATCAGAAGACCAAGCAGTCGTAAGATTGAATCCACACAACGGAGTGAGTGCCCGTCGCTTGTCCCAGCTCCCGCCAACCTAGCGGTTCGAAAGCATGCAAATGCAAGTAGATAAATAGGGACCACCTCGGTGGGAAGGTAACAGCGTTCCGTGTCTAAGTCGCACCGGCCATGTGACCACGGAAGATTATCTTCGGACAAAAACGCTGGCTCTATGGCTTGGAAACGGGGATGAGCACCGCCCCCTAGAGTCGAACACGACTGGACAAAAATTGTCAAGGGGAACCTTTACTTTTACCTTTAGGTAAGTTCACATTAAAATGCAATCTGAATTACTCCAAATTCCCAACGATTGAGTTACTTCCCCACTATTATTTTTATGTCTTCATTTGATATAGACCACATTTTTTCCAGAACTAGAGTGTAAGGCAGCTCACCTCTTGCAATGGTACAGCAACAGGTGAAGGAAGACAAGCAAGAAAATGAGCGCTGACCACCATACTTTAAAAAAAAGGGCTGCCATTGTTTGATTCCTTTTCTAATCCACACTTTGGCAGTGCCTCTTCAGGGACCTGTGCATTCAGATGAGGTCTTCAGACAGACTGAATAAACTGCTAGATTTCATGGAGGTAGTTTCTTTTAATTCTAATTTCTTCACTCCGTATCTTTTACAACTTCTCTTGACTGTAAATTCTTAAAAAGCTAGTCTAATTATTTCTGAAAAGCCCTTCCTGCATTCCACCTCTTGCTAAATATTAAGCAAGAAAAAAAATTAAAAATAAGTTTAACTAAACTTTCATACAAATACAAATTTAAAGTACTAAAAGTTAAAACTGATGATCAAGGTGAATTATATGGGGCCTAAAGGTATTTTCAAAATCTAAAAAAATTTAGGGGGTAAAATGTAAAAAAGTTCCCTGACCCCTGTAGTTTATCACTGTGTGTAAATATATTCTTTAACCAAAGTCATCAAATTTTAACATTCTGGTAATAAATATAGCTCGTTCCTGAATGTATTATCTGCACAGATGTCACTTTTTGACTCCTTTCAATCAGAATGGAAATTACAACTTACAAAAGAAATAAGGCAAATGGGCTTTTCCACCAATGTTCTTTTGGCGAAGGGGCATGTCAATGATAAAGCAGCACTCAAACAGAGAACCTGGGACACAGAACTTCAGGAGGATATGAGCCAGTTGGGCAAATACAGTGTTGTTACTAAGAAGGCCTTCACAGTATCTTCATATCTGAAGAGCACAATGTCAACAAAGACCAGAAGAGCCTTCACATTAG